ATGGTCAGTGTATATCCCTCGGCTGCTCAGTGTGTGGTGTGTGTACTTGATATCTTTATCTAACAAGCACACACTCCTTTATCGACGAGTGTGTGTGAGAGACGCAGCCGTCGTCGGGCTAACAGGACACAGCAGAGAGCAGAGCAGCAGGCAAATCAAGACAACATTGGCTTGTGCAGTGAAGCCCACCGAGTCTTAATTGAATTGATAGAGTATGGGGAGAGGAATTGATGAGGAAAACTTGGGAGTGGGAAAGGAAATCGGGGAGAGGGGTAATATAGAGGGGACATTGTGGAAGAAACACAAAAATAATAGACAGATTCAAAGTAGAGAGAGAAGAATCTCAATCCAGAGAGAGCCAATTAAAACGAGATGGCTGAGGAACAAATGTTTTTGCGATGGAAAGGTGGAAAAGACGTGATAAAGAAAGACAATGCAAAGTAGGAAACTAAATAATTACAGAGCGAGTGTTACCACGGTGAAAGAGGGATGAATCTATTACTAACAGTGATAGTAAATAATGAAGGGAGAGAAAACGGAATTAATGAAAGATAGTGAAAAACAAAAAAAGGGGATGAGGGTGAATTTAGGCTGAGAATGGAATAGTTGACAGCTGAATTAGCAATGGAGCTCCCTCTCCACGACTATGATTAATGTGCCCTTCAGGAAATCAAGCTTCTATGTTAATTTAAACAGAGAAAGGAAACACAAAGAACCACACTCAGTATCAGTGCTGAATACAAATACCCTGCTCAGGTAAATGAAGAAGCAATCCAGCACTAAATAGGTTCCAGCTTAGAGTGAAAATGTGTGAGGAGAGGGCAACACTATAAAAAGGTGTGTAGAGTGAGAGAGAAAAAACGGCAGACTCAGAAGAAGGTCATACAGACTGTCAGGCTGCACAGAAAATAAACCTTAATCTGGGATTGAGTCAGTGAAGAAATATAAAACACATGCCAGAGACATCTCGGTGATCCAGTGTGTGTGCAGCACCGATTGGTAAAGCGCACCAGTGTGATCTCATGCAGTAAGACATGGATACACTCTTCATGTCTCACCTTAATGAGGTCTCCCAGGAGTTTGTTGGCTTCGGTGTAGGCCTTCTTCACCTCCTTGAACTTATTTCCCAGTCCCATGCTGTGAGCCTGCAAAGAGCCACAGTGAATAACAGAAGGAATGAGTGGAGAAAAATAATATTTGTAATGCTACGTTAGAGGAAAGATATCAAGGCTCATTCAGTCATTGATTCAAAGCTGTAATTTGTGAAGTGACACCTACACCTTTTAAATGGATGGAGAGGACGCTCGTGTAGCAAAGGCCAGATGGGCCGGTGCGGTAAGCCCCTGTAAACTGTAATTTGGTACATGGTGTATTTGTTCAATAATATTGATTTAAATGAGTCACACTAGTGTAGAGGATGAGCACACACAGTTTTATTCAAGCAGCTGCACAGAGCTTTCGATTCAGTCACTGTGAGACATCTCAGACTGTGAGTGAGCACAGAGGAGACAGCCTGGTTGTACTTCATGTACCTTAAACTAAATTAGTTGTTCGAGCAACATTTGTGGGAGTTTCTAAAAACAGTGCCACTGATGAATGCACCTCCTTGCTTTCAGTTATTGCGTGTAGAGTACCTTTGAACCAAACAAAACAATGCATATTTTTATCGAATGTAGGAGAAAATACGTTTATGTTTCTCTTCAATATTGTTTTAAGAGTGCTTTCTGAAATAAGACAGTCAAATAAGCATTAAGGGGAAGTTGCACCCGACAACAATGAACCAAAATGTAATGTCATACTGCACTAATCCGTGTTAACATCCATCCATCCATGAAAGAGCTAAACATGTGGCTTTGTGGAATCCAGCTTGGAGATTGTTTAGCTTCAAAATCAATCACTTACACAAAACAGAATAAAAAGGACCAGAATAGCTGGGTGTACCTGGAAGTGCAGGTTGGTGTACTGTCCTCCGGGGATCTCGTTCTCGTACACGTCAGCGTTTCCAGACTTCATGGTGGCCGTGCAGTCGAATGGAGCATACAGGCCTCTCGTTACTTCCCAATACTCGCTGTAGTCAAACACCTTCTCCAGAGCGATGCCTGCAGCACAGAATGACATCAAATCAATGGCCGCCATGCACACTTTCTTTGAACTACTGTCCTTTTAAACTGAGATGCAATTTGTCCAAAGACTACAAGCAAGCAAGGGGCAACTACATGCAAACTACAAATGCATTGTGATAATGTTTTTGTGTTTACCGAATAAAAATAAAAACCTTCAAATATAGTGATATATTTATGGGGATAATACTCATATGCTGTACTTCTTATTTTGCCGAAGTACAATTGTCTTGGGTTTATGCTGTTGGTTTTGATAAAGATATAAACATGATGTGAAACGTTTCACAGTTTTGACAGTGTGTCAAGATTCATTTTCACTTGCACCGGGGAAAACCAGTCCAGTTTGCTAACTTTTGTGCACTACAATAAAGAGTCCATAGTTTCAAAAAGGTGATACCAAAATGGCAGCAGAGTCATTTCTACAATCTTCCAAACAATCACTTTTTTTGACAACTGTTCAAAATGGTATTATGTCAGTAAAAATGTGGGACTCAAACAAAGGTTACAAGCCAGAAAAGCTTGAACGGTCCTTAGCTACAGTGTTGGTTTAGCAGAACTATTAATCCATTAGCGCTCGTTTACATCCTGCCTTTGCTGCTCATTAAATCCCTGTGATATTTTGTTATCCATAAAAGAACCATCTGTTGCTAGTATTCATGACATTCTGCTGCAGCCAGGTAAGGTGTTCTCTCTAAAGCTGATTACCTTAAATGGGAAAATCTGTTTGAATGCCATGACAGAAATGTCTTTGCAGTGAGCGTCCTCCATGCTAAAGAGACAAACTAAGCTTTCTTACAACAGGGTGAATTGTCATGATGAAGCGAGCACTTACTCCAGAAAGTGTTTGTTTGATTCCACTGTGATCCTTGTGGAAAATTGGAGCCACTGAGGAATTAATGTGAGGCTAATGTGCATGTTGGTTCTCCTCAAAATCCGCTGCCTGCCAAGCCGCTCAGTAATAGCTCCATTTCCTTCTCTGTTTGAGAACACTTTGGAGCGTTCATTTACGCTTCCATTTGAAATTACAGCCTTGATTACAAGTGGAAGTGACGGCATGTTAAAAGGTCAGGTCAGGCCGCCTCTACGATACAGCACCTTGTTCTCTACTTTAAAATAGCAACTTAAACTATTACATACTGCTCCCCTTACCACACAATCTTTGAGTGTGATATTCACAACGGGCATTATTCTTTTAATACATTAAGTGAATTTGGCTGTTTGCTTGTACCTAAAGAGGAAATATTATGTACATTTTCAAGTTTATATTAGTATTGTGTGCTTCTACTGTGACATGTTTTCATGCTTTAATGTTCAAAAGGGTCCTTCATTTTCTCATACTGCCTGTGCTGCAAAACCTCTTTCCAGGGGGTGTGTGTGTGTGTGTCGAAGGTCCAGTTGTGATAGACAAGGTTCGCCACTGCTGTTGAGATTGGTCAACCGCTTATAGCTGTCCAGCTCGTTAGCCTAGATTGTTCTACTTATCCGAAATTAAAAGGGTCTAAGTAATTCTTCTTCAGTTCCTGAGTAAAAGTCTAAGCAGTAAAACACCACACCTGTATGAGCTGGAAAGTTCTATCAAAGCATATTAAGTTAAGCTGAATCGACCCACTTTGTCGTGGAGGAGCATTATTCAGGAAAATTGGCCGTGATGAAGCGAGAATAACAATAATGTCTTTTATCTAGCTGATTTTTGCTTTCGCGACGACCTATCTTGCCTCCGGGGATTAAAATGTTTATTTTACCCTGCATCCTTTAAAGCAGCTGCAAATGGATTCTGACGCTTTCTAAATCACACCGGAGGTAAATACAGCTTTGTTTTTTCTGGACTGCTGGTTACGCTCCCAAAATCATCAATCACTACAACATTGTGCTATGTGTATACCATAGACATGCACACGCACATATATCCGTCATTTAAACGGCTGCTCGGCAGTGACAAAGTGTTATCAATATACAACTCATTAGCAGCACAAGCTCACTAATGCAGCCGACAAACAGAGACACACACAGTTGTGTTCAGATACACACAGTTGTGGGGAGATAGCCACACACACACAGTTTGTGGTTGATGGGACAATGAGAGCTAACCAAGACGCAGAGATGAAGACGGATGAGCATGAGAAGACTCGGGGACAAAAGAGGGGGAAATTGAACGCAGACGGATGAAGAAAGGAAGAGGAGGGAGGTGAGGAAGAAGGTCAACACGTTGGCTAACCTTGTCTGTGTGGTTGAGAGCATACACACACTAATATCTCTGCTTTGAATACAGTCTTCTGTGTGTTTGATGACCGCTACATCTTTGACGGCTGCATTGTTGTGGCAGCTAAGAATTCCTCATCAATTAAAGCCATGCATGATTCATGAGGAGAGGCAGTAAACGCTGTGTCAAGCAAACACAAGGGCCACTTTAATGTGTGTCATCATTCAACAGCGTGAGTGTTTGTGAATATGCATGGCTTCTAAATCCGCTCACACACACACAAACACTGTGGCTGAATGAATAAATAAAGTGACAGCTGAGAGACAAATGAATTAACCAGAGAAGCGCTGCTCGTGCTTTGACGAAGAGACACTGTGAGAGACAGTGAGGGGGAGAGCAAATTGTGACTTAGTGAAATATGGATGTAAAATGCTCTTAATTACTTTGTCTCTGAGTGAGAGGGCGGGAAGAGGAGGAGGATGAAGAGACAATGTGGAAGAATGGAGGGTGATGAGAAAAGACATGAGAGACTGCTTTGTAACAGAGATGGGAGAAAGAGAGGGAAAGCAGTAAACAGAGAGGTGTCAGCGAGGTTTGGAAGTATTCAAGAAAGTACTGTGTCTGATTATAAAAGGAGAGAGAAAGTCAAAAGTAGATGAGGCGCATAAAGAGAGGCAGAGATGAATAGAGCAGACGAGCACAAGGTGACAGGTAGAAAAGTATTTGGAAGTTTCTCCGCATGTGTATGCATAATGCAGGGACCAGGGCCCCATCAGGATGCACTATAAGTATGCACACATGTGTGAGAGTGAGTTTGTGGGAGACATCCTGCATCCCAATCTCAGTCTCAAGTGAGGCAAATTAAAATGCCTGGAATAAACTGACACTTGAAATCCTCTCGCTCTTGAGTAACGACCTTGTCCTTCTCTCGCTCTTTTTTCAGGGAACTGTAAGCTCACACATTGATATTCTGTCACTAACGTGGACTGTGTCTGACTGATGGGAGACTTTCTGTCCCTGATGCTTCCTACACTGCCCTGAACGATATGAGAGCGGACGTGGACCTGTTGCAGTCAGCCTCAAATATGTCCACAGAGAGAGTTCACTTTCAGAACACAAGTCACGCATCGCACTCTGAACACAGCATGCCGTAATGGCCCTGTCGCTGTGCTGCTTCATGGACTATTACAGAATTAGCCTCATCTTCTACGACAGTTTCCTCTCTGTGTGCTTGTTTCTACAGTTATATTAAACAATCAGCCTAGAAAAGAAAGCCATTCTCTTGAAATTTGCCCTGAGAGACTAACAACAGCAGGATGTGCGCTGCTCTACAACTACTGTCTGCATCACACACATTAAGTTAAGATCATGTTGTCTGTTTGGAAATTAGGTGCTCACAACTTACTTTACAGGTAATTACAGGAAGAAATACAAGGAGCATTGCCTAAATAAATACAATCCTGTTTTCCGTTGTGTAATCCTTTTAAAGGTCCCATGTCATGCTTTTCCGGTTATTACCCGTCCCCTTGTGTGTTATGAAGGTTTTTATGCATGTAAACGGTGTGCAGAGTCAAAACCCTCAAAGTACACCCTGTAGCGAGTAAAACTCTAACACAGAAAATACCTCCCCAAAACGCCTCGTTGGAGATACGTCATTGTCCATTGATTCTTCCGGGTACCGCATGATGTCATGCGTTACCCGGAACCAAATGGACCAATCCGTGGAGCCGTTACGTTACGTCCGCGGAGCCGTTACGTTAAGCCCCCGCTGATTGGTCCAAATTGACCAATCCACGGACTTCCTCACACACACACACTCAGTGCAGGCAGCTCTGTTGATCTCTCCTCCCTGCGGTTGAGCTAAAGNTTTATACTCCAGACACAGCTTGTGTTTCGCGTAACGATAGCGTTCTCTCTTTCTGTTCAACCTGCATCATCAAGCATTGTTGTCTTCGCACTTCTCAAGGCAGGCCTTGAGAAGTGCGAAGACAACAATGCTTGATGATGCAGGTTGAACAGAAAGAGAGAACGCTATCGTTACGCGAAACACAAGCTGTGTCTGGAGTATAAATCAATGACAGGACATGGCTCACGAAAACATTAACAAACACTGGCTTGTTGCAGCAAATCAATAAAAGTTCTGTCCATAAACTTGATCCATGTCTCAAACAATGCCATGTGACCTTGATTTTGAGGGAATTGAAACTCTATATTGTTGCTGTTCTCAGCTAGGTGTCCTTTGTAAAATGGTTCCTTAATCTGAATGGGACTAACCGGGTGAAATAAAGGCTAAGAGTTGCGTTTGAGGGGGCTTCAGGAAGGGGAAACAAACATCATGTGACGTTTTTATTCCAAGTCTTGCAGAATGCTTTCTCAGTTGTCGTATCCCCACAGCACTTGAAAGCATGTGGGATGTATAAAACCTTGCATTGTACTTCACCACTGGATAAAAGCTGCTGACAGGGTGAGAGGGGGAAGATGGAGATGCATGCAGAAGTGCTACAAGATGGAGAAAGGGAGGGAGAGAAAAACTTGAAGCAGAGGGAAAAAGAAACTAAATGCTAGTTATTTGTTTTCACATTTGCATATAGGTGAAACCACTGTTGTGTTAAGATCTGCAGTGAACCACTTTAGTTCCCTCCATCTCATATTTTTCTCTCCAGTAAAGTGCCAAAAGCAAATCAAAGAAGACTGCAGTGTTGCTGCATATCACCAGCCATCATCCTGGTTCCCTCTTAGAAACAGAGGAGAATGAAAGAAAAGTGGAGGCTGCTACAAAACTAATGATGGGATGCTTTATCTGCCCACACAGTTGATGGTCTGACACGACTTGAATAGAAAATCAATCTGAGGCTACTTATAACGTCGGCTGAAGAGATTATGTCAAGACACAGACATTTGGCCCAAAGGCTTCTGTTTTGTTTTTAACATATTTTTTAGCTTTTGATGACACAGGGGAGGAGTAGTCCATTGAGTTACTTCAGCAAATATTTCTTGGAAATTATTCACACAGGAATAAAAGACAAATAGCACAGCTTCTTAGCGACTGGACCTCTTACAGTATGGTGTGTGTCGTATTTAATTCTTAGCTTTCATTCAGGTTTTAAATAATGGTACCTAAAGCTACCATGCCAAGCAACAGCACTTGGAATCTGCATGGTGGTTTCACTCATTTGCACTTTAAGCGATGCAGCAATCCAAATTCACGACCGTTAGTCTCCTGGTGTGCTCACATGCTCTGCATACATCCGATGTGATGTTTGCAAATGTGTGTAGTGGCGATCATGTTCTACTCTCTGTGGTATGTGTCAGGTGTAAGGGGTGTTGGTGGGCGCATGTGTGTGTGGTGTATTCGCAGAAAATCTCCAAGACAAAAGGGCCCAATGCAATGTTTGCATTGGTAGTTTAGGTGACCATTATTGTAAACCCTGGAATGAAGCTAGAATAAATAGACACAGACAACCATACTGTGAGGTCGTCGCTAAGGAAGCTGTGCTATTTGCTTTTTATTCTGTTGTGAATATTTCCAAGAAATAGTTGCTGAAGTAACTCAATGGATACTCCCCTCCCCTGTGTCATCAAAAGCTAAAAAATATGTTAAAAACAAAACAGAAGCCTTTGGGCCAAATGTCTGTGTCTTGACATAATCTCTTCAGCCGACGTTATAAGTAGCCTCAGATTGATTTTCTATTCAAGTCGTGTCAGACCATCAACTGTGTGGGCAGATAAAGCATCCCATCATTAGTTTTGTAGCAGCCTCCACTTTTCTTTCATTCTCCTCTGTTTCTAAGAGGGAACCAGGATGATGGCTGGTGATATGCAGCAACACTGCAGTCTTCTTTGATTTGCTTTTGGCACTTTACTGGAGAGAAAAATATGAGATGGAGGGAACTAAAGTGGTTCACTGCAGATCTTAACACAACAGTGGTTTCACCTATATGCAAATGTGAAAACAAATAACTAGCATTTAGTTTCTTTTTCCCTCTGCTTCAAGTTTTTCTCTCCCTCCCTTTCTCCATCTTGTAGCACTTCTGCATGCATCTCCATCTTCCCCCTCTCACCCTGTCAGCAGCTTTTATCCAGTGGTGAAGTACAATGCAAGGTTTTATACATCCCACATGCTTTCAAGTGCTGTGGGGATACGACAACTGAGAAAGCATTCTGCAAGACTTGGAATAAAAACGTCACATGATGTTTGTTTCCCCTTCCTGAAGCCCCCTCAAACGCAACTCTTAGCCTTTATTTCACCCGGTTAGTCCCATTCAGATTAAGGAACCATTTTACAAAGGACACCTAGCTGAGAACAGCAACAATATAGAGTTTCAATTCCCTCAAAATCAAGGTCACATGGCATTGTTTGAGACATGGATCAAGTTTATGGACAGAACTTTTATTGATTTGCTGCAACAAGCCAGTGTTTGTTAATGTTTTCGTGAGCCATGTCCTGTCATTGATTTATACTCCAGACACAGCTTGTGTTTCGCGTAACGATAGCGTTCTCTCTTTCTGTTCAACCTGCATCATCAAGCATTGTTGTCTTCGCACTTCTCAAGGCAGGTGGTTCAGAAAACAACGACGCAACTGTGGGAGAGAAAAAATCTAAAGAACATCCATATCTATTTCGGCTTAAAATATATAAATTCAAGCAAGCTTTGAAGTTTAAAGTCAGTCTGTAGATTATTCCATGCAGAGAAACTAATCTTCTGCTCCCCTGTTCTCTCTTCTCTTCTATCCCAGGTGCTGAAGAATCTCCCTCGCATTGAGGGTCGCCCCGGCGCCTCTCTGCCCCCCTTGGACTTCAAGTCGCTGGAGGAGGGTCTGCGGGCGGCACACAACGATGAGATCACCCCCGAAGATGTGATGTCAGCAGCCATGTACCCCAAAGTGTTCCAGGAGTTTAAGGAATTTACAGGTGAGTGGGCAGACTTGATAGTTATCATAGCCATTATCTTCAAGTTCATGTTTAATCTTTTAGTTATTGCTCATTTAATCAAATTAGATCTGTAATTATAAACCAGATTGGGTTCATGGCTTTTGGTCTGGGTCTCCCTGCTCATTCTAACCTGTACTCTGAGGTACTTCCTGAGGCTTGGAATAAGCAGCCAACCGGTATTAAGGAACATCCAAGGTTAGCCATCAGGTAGAAAATGTTTTATTTGTAGTTTTATTTTCAGGAGAACAATCAGATGCTTCAGATTCAGGCGAGAGTGCAGTTGAGCCCCAAAGCCGTAACAACACCTGTCTCAGATGGTGCATTTGAATAATGCTCATAAGAAACCAGAACAGCAAGAAGTGGTGCTGGGGGGGGGGAAATCAGCATAACCAGTAACAGCATTTTTAAGCAGGTGTGAAGTACACGCAGCCAGCAGCAGCAGCAGGAGGCAGAGAAGCCTGTGATGTTGAAAGTTTAATAGAAATCCTTCTTCAGGAGTGGAATTTCAAACTTTACTGGGAGTTGTTTAAAGCCGTAACAGTTCCATTCAGCTACCTGGATTAAAACCAGCTTAATTGTTGCTTCAAGGAGTCAGGAAATGTCAGCGTCATGTTACCTTTTAATGAGACGCTTTAATCGTGCAGACGTTCCTGAACTGCTCGGCTTCAGTCTGAACATAGCCTTGAAACAAATCTTAACCTCTAAAGTCTTTTCTAATACCGTTTCAAAATATAATAATAATTATAAGAAACTAAACCCTTGGGAATTCAGTGATTTCCTGTGAGCTAATGTCACTATCGTGTACAGTGTAAAAGAACAGACATGGAGTTTGAGACGTCGTTAACCAATAAAGATTTTCAGTTTGGGTCTTTGTCTTCTTTGCCGCTGATGTTAAGTTTGTCTCTGTTTCTATTCCCCAGCTAACTTTGGTCCAGTGGACTGTCTCAGCACCCGGCTGTTCCTGGACGGACCCAAGATCGCTGAGGAGTTTGAGGTACACAATGCATACTGTACACACTAAGTACCATTTCTAGACCAGAACTTCAGGGGGGAACTCTGCACGATTTACAGATTAAGACCATTTCTAACAGATGGCAGATATGGAAGGACATGAGAATCCACTAGACAGCAAGCCTGTAATGAAAAGCTGTTGCATTATGGGAAGTGTTTGGGGCCTGACCTTTATATTATGAACTAAAGGTCAGGATATCTTTGCCTTTGCAGAACATATTTAGCCCTTTTTCTTTAAAAAACATGAACAGATGCCATGCTAACATTAACCATTTCATAATATTGCTTGAGAAGAGTGAACGCTTTTGATTTGTGTTCCAAAGTACAGACCAGAACTAATGCAGAATAAATGCACTTTTATAGCGCATTTGTATTTATGCAAGCTAAAAATAAAGATAAAGAAAATGTACAAATGACAGCAAAATACCTTCAAAATCACAATCAAACGTGAACAAGTGTGTACTCATTTATTGCATTAATTGTGTTGAAGGTCCCCTGAAGAAAAGGCATCATCAGCAGGATTATGATTTGATCAGTCACAGTTGATGACACATTGGGGAGTACGGAGATATTAACACTTTATTAAGGGGACACAAACTGTGTTTCTGATCCCTCCAGCCACAGGTTGGCCTCTCCCACAGACATGACGAATTGATTTTGTCGTAAGATGTTGGAGAATGGGCCGCTGAAAGGCACTGAGGGCCCGTACTGTACTATTAGAGAGCAAAATATGACCTCACACATTTCAGAAGCTTGTGCCATTAGTTTGTTGTCCAACAGGGAGGCGGTTAAATTTGCTTTGCACTCAAATAAATCAGGGGCACAGGAATGTATCAGTCTCTTATTGAGAGGATGTAAATTAGCTGTTAAATGTTCCCGGGGATATTGGCATCTAAGTAGGACAATTATTCAGAATCAGCAGGTTGGAAATAATGTTCAACATACGCGAAGATGCAGTCAGCAGAAATACTCCAAGATGTCGGCTGTCCTAGAAAGCTTCTCTCAGTCCAGGAGCGAGCAGGGTGGAAGTCGCAGTTTTTATCAGATAGTTCAGACAGAGGTTGAGGAGAATGACAGAAGTTACATTTTGACGAGCAAAACTCAAACTGAAGTGATTGTTCAGGTCCAGATTGAAGAGTGTGTAGAGACTAGTGACGGTAACCTTTGTGACAGATGTCAAAACCCAGATGTTCGATCAAAGAGACATTTCGTTTTTCTGCAGGAAGAGTCTGTCACTCAACATGCGATCAGAAAAGAAATATGCCTTTGTGCTCTATTCAAAACTTTTTCCTAACTTTCCTATTAGGTAATGGGGAGGAAAACTACACACATGCAGAGTTGGAAAATCTAAAGGCTTTTTCGAAGCAACACTTCAGGTGTAAGGACAATGAATATACATATTATTCCATTAGGATTTAAACTCAAAACTGTTGTTCCATAATATTTGGCTGAGAAAAACAGTGTAAAAGCTGTTAGTAGGTTTCTAACTCAGTGTTTGAGACTGATCAGATGGCTGCGGTGTGAAGCCGTCAAACAGGAAGACGGGTCAGAGAGGATGGCTGTGACATTTTTAGCCGCGATCAGCCCCTCTTTAGATCGCTCTGTGGGTCAGTCCATGATAACCTCCACAAAGAGGAGGCTACAGTTTATCATGGAGGTCGGTGTTGGTGAGATTCAGAGTGTGTGACAAGTGTGCAGCTTTTATGAATTAACGCTTATTAAGGATCGACCGATATGGCTTTTTCAAGGCCGATACCGATTATTAGTAATCAAGGAGACCGATAACCAATATTTGGAACCGATATACATTTGAAGTAAAATCTGAAAATCTTGGTGTCAAAATGTAGAATAACACAAGTTCTTTGAAATGCCTTTTTATGTTTAGTGAACTTTTCAACATCTTAAAACTGGTTTCTTCTCTGTGACCCTGAGTAAAGTAAATGAAGTAAAAAATAAAATAAAAACTACTAAAACTTGCTCTGAACTTCTGATATTTGAGTCTCACTTATTTAGTAGTCCCAATTCAGCAGCACCAGATTGTGATGCAGAATGCAGAGTTGCTGCGAGGCTCCACTAGCAGCCGTCCCAGTCCCAGTCGTCCCAGCCACAGTTTCTCCGCTGCGAGACGCTACCCGCCCCCCCCGGTCCGTTTGTAACTGGGAAACTGGTAGAATTGGAATTGGATTGTGGTGTTTTTGCAACTTCAACATAGGGGATTGGGATGTTTATTGAACTTCGGCTTTCAACTGATTTACCTTCGAAACACCGCTCACTGCTGCTGCTTGCCTCTGTCTGTGTTCTTCGTACCTGCCTGTATTAATCTGAGAAGTTCCTGGCTCTCTGGCTGGCTGCAGCCCGGAAAATCTTCAGTGTTGATTGACACTTCAGTAATAGCCTATCAGATAGCGCTGTGGGCGGGACATCGGCAATTTGATTTTAAAAAAGGCCGATACCGATAATCTGTAAAATGCGGAATAGCGGCCTCGATAATCGGTCGACCCCTAACGCTTATCGACTGCAGCTCTGTAGCAAACCTGCCTCTACGATTCCTAAAGTGGGCAGCATGATGTTGTTGATTGGTATTAATTATGAACTCTGTGCATGTTAAGCAAAAGGTAGTGGAGCTATCATTCTGAGTTGTTACTGAAATTCCTGGACTTGGTTTAGTGTGAGTTTAGGGATAACAACATTAGGAGAATATACAAAATACAAATGTATCCTCGTACTTGTAGAGCTATTTATTTATCTTGATTGGTTATGGTCTGTGTTATCTGAAGGTTATAGTTTTTGGATTAAGACATTTTTTGTTGATTTTTGAAGTATTTGGCGCATTGAGCACAAGAAGCTGAATAAATAGCACCCATTTCCCCTCAGTTTACATTTCTTCCATATTTTATTTTCATAGCTTAAATCAAAAGAAATTATTCATTGATAAAAAGAAACCAATGACAACATTAAAAGTAATTTTAATTATTTCCAACCATCTGTGACTTGCATCTCTCTGGAAAGTAGCTGCGTCAGATGGACAGTAGTGGCAAGAAGCAAAGTAACAAAACAGCGCGGCTCACAGATAAATGGTCTTCTATTGATGTGGGCAAAACCACAACCAATTGCCCACAATAAAAAAGACTGAAGACCTTTGCTGTATTTTCCCAAGGCTCCTAAGCTTCACTTCACACTCCTCCGTGTACCAGTATTATTTATAACCCTACTAAGACAACCTCATTTATTATACATTAGATTGTTTCTTACAATATTTTCTCTCATGAGTAGTGCAAAGATTGAACAGAGTGATTTGCAGCGGCTAGAGGCCTCACGTTTGATTACGGTTTCATTTCACTGCAGCACGACGGATTCAGGCGTGTGTTAATTGATTTGATATTAGGCGGGACATGAGGAGCCCTGCTCTGCTGGCGCATTACTATCAAAGAATCAGGATCTGCATTGATTGCGCTAATCTGGCATCGACCCCAAAGGAGGGCAGACCCCCCGCCCTCCTTTGTTGTAAACCCCCCCGGGTGTGTGTGATTAGAGACAATAGAAAGGAATGGTCAGACCACCGACCACTGATTTATAATAAGTACTTTTTAGCAGCTGTGGCAGGTTTGAAGCCACAGGTTGGTTTGTGCTGCTATGCATCCTTTTAAAATTCTTACAACACTAAATAGTAAGGTTGAATAAATTGTTCTTGATTTCTAGTTCAAAGAGTATATTTATCAACACAAATTGCTCAACAAGCCACAAAAGCCTTTACAGCTACAGTTGAAGTGGAGTATAAATACTCTTGATTTTCCAGCTTGCCAATGGCAGTATTGGCTTCCCTTGCTGTAAAAATAGATTTTCTAACGGTGTCTTATTTAAAGTGAGACACCTTGTTTTTAACCCGACTCACTTTGCGTGTTCTCCTCTCTAAATAGAAAACCTGTCATTCAGAAATTCCCCAAAAGCAAGACTGTTGTTTTGTTTTTCCAGCCTCACTTCTCACTTCCCCTCTCTGCTGTTTATCTCACTCCCTCACAACTGTTGTCACTTTCAGACGCCAGGACTTCTGCTCAGAATCCTTCACAGCCCAGGAACAAACATGATGGCGACTCCCTCCAGATCAGGTCCGATTAGCAGCACCAGACTGGAGAGGGATGAAAACATGTCAGAGAAAATCAGCCGTCACTTGTAGCGTTTCTGTTAGTTGTCTGCTTCCTTTTGAAGTGCAGAATTCCTCAAGGGCGAAAACAAGCTCCTATATTAATATAAAAATACATGCAGTAATAACTTTATTAATACAGCACTTTGAAGGAATGCAGTGAGGCATTTCAAATCGGAAATAAATCACATACAAATAAATAAGGCATATTGTAAGAAGAAAGTGCCAACATCTAATATTTAGTATTTCAAATGTCAGCCGTAACATTGTATGAGGCTGTTGTCATTTTTTCCATAACATTTTTTTAAACTGATGCTTATAAGTACTTGGTTCATACAGTGGGGCAAAAAAGTATTTAGTCAGCCACCAATTGTGCAAGTTCTCCCACTTAAAAAGATGAGAGGCCTGTAATTTTCATCCTAGGTATACCTCAACTATGAGAGACAAAATGAGAAAAAAAAATCCAGAAAATCACATTGTCTGATTTTTAAAGACTTTATTTGCAAATTATGGTGGAAAATAAGTATTTTGTCAATAACAAGATCATCTCTATACTTTGTTATATACCCTTTGTTGGCAATGACAGAGGTCAAACGTTTTCTGTAAGTCTTCACAAGGTTTTCACGCCCTTAGTCTTGATTTGTTGAGTTTTTGTTGATATGATGTACTGTGTTAGAGGCTGCGTGAATGGAAGCAAAGCATTGTTGTTAAATAAACACAGACAGGTATGTGGGTGTTGGGAAGAGCCAGAGTGACCAACACAATTGGTAATTATTCGGTGCTTATTAGAAGCATATTTCTTTGCTCTCATGCGTGGTGACCTTTTGCAATTTTGTCAGCTTTGTTTGTTGGCCGAGAGAAGAGCCCTGAGGAAAGTAAATTTCTCTGCTACGAAAACAGTTTGTCAGTTTAAATACAGGAGAGTATCATGCACTCCATACTCCTCCTACTGTTGAGTGCACATGTCAGCATTGTTGTTGTAATTCTGTGCACAGGCCCGGTTCAAGATGGCGCCGGTGTGTGTACCTGGCCGCCTGCTACTCCTACAGTTGTTTGTGTTTTCGATGTTCTTAACCCTTGTCGCTACACAGATCGAGTCTCTGCTGGTGTATGATCGTCAATATCTTTTAGATCTTCGACATAATGTCAGGTTTTTGGATGCGTTTGAGCATGGTGGGCAGAAAACTGTGCCCCCGCTACTGGCGGGGATCCCGACTCACCTGTGCCGGGCCTTGGCCCTGCCTCCTCGGCGGAAGCGTCTCCGTCGTCGAGGCAAACGCGGAGGTCGGCTGGTGAAGCTTAAAACCTGGCTGGCAGGATCTTCGTCCATTTCCCGGACAGGACTTGGATTAATCCATCCTTTCGTTGTGACCCAGTGTTTCCTGGACCCCATCGATGCCTGCATTGTACCTGTCATCGGATCGTTTGTGGGATTCCAGCCCCGCCGCCCCGGCCCTCCTCGGCTTTTCCAGCGCGGGGTAAACCACGATCTTCTGAAGACGCTGCCACGGTCTCGCAGATCCGCTGAACCGCAGCCCCCGGCGGCCCGCCAGGGTCGGCCTGCGTAAACGCCAGATCACTGGGCGAACAAGACGTTTGTATATCCTGAAAGGATTTCTTCAACTCTCCGCGCTAGCTTGATTTTTCTCTTGTCGTTGGACAGAGACCTGCGATCGGTGTCCGGTGAGTGTCCCGCCGCCTTGGTCGAACTTTTACCGTTTTATTCCGGGGCGGCTGCTTTCTTTTTTTAACTCCCCGCGGACGTCGGGGCCGGCTGGAGAGAGACGGCCGACGTCTATAAATTTTGTCTTTATATGTAGCAGCGGCGCCGTCTTGTCCTCCTTTTCAGTTTCCGGAGGCACTTTATTTTGAGGTGGATCGCTCCGAATCCTGTGTGCTGTGCCGCCGTCATTACCGACCCTTTCTCCAAATTACAATAAGGGACTTCTTAAATGGACTTCTCTGATCTGCTGCTGATTATGCCTCAGCTATGATTCGTGTCCTCCTTTGTCGGGGGATTTTAACATTCATGTGTGCTGTCTCTGGACAAGCGTTTGGTGAAGGGA